TGGTTCATCTCTCTAGACCTGAAAGACACCTATTTTCAGATCCAGATAAACCCTCATCACAGGCCATTCCTACGTTTCGCCTTCGAGGGCCAAGTTTACCAGTATGCCGTTCTCCCGTTCGGCTATCCTTAGCACCCCGTACGTTCACGAAGTGCATGGATACAGCGCTCGCCCCCCTGCGAAGTCAGGGGCTGCGCATACTGAATTATCTGGACGACTGGCTGATGCTAGCAGATTCCCAGACGGAGCTGCTGTCGCACCGCACAGTTCTCCTCAACCATCTGGAAGCGCTGGGACTCTCTGTCAACTGGACAAAGAGCTCTCTCCAGCCCAGTCAAACTATTTCGTTCCTTGGAATAGATTTGAACTCTATCACTATGACGGCTCGCTTATCCACACAGCGCGCGCGCCGTGTTCAGCGCCTAGCCGCCTCGTTCAGATGGGTACCCATACATCCCTGAAATCGCTTCAGAGGATGCTGGGTCATATGGCTTCAGCCTCCGCTGTGCTACAGCTGGGTCTTCTGCACATGCGCCCCTTCAACTCTGGTTATAGAGCCGCGTATCCCACCACGAGTGGACGACGGGCCGCCAGATGATCAGGATTACTCAGACACGTATCACTGCACTGCAGCCATGGGCAGTAAGCGAGTGGTTTCAGAGGGGCGTTACCATGGGAACCTTCTCTCGCCGGAAAGTTATCTCGACAGACGCATCCAACTCGGGTTGGGGAGCGGTTTGCGAGGGCTCACCGGCCGCCGGCCAGTGGTCGAGCCACGAGAGTTCCCTACACATAAACTGTCTGTATATGATCGCGGTCGAGAACGCGCTGCTATGCTTCCTCCCGCGCATAAACGGTCACCACGTCCTGATTCGCTCCGACAATATGGCCGTGGTATCATACATCAACCGTCAGGGCGGCGTCAGATCCAAGAATCTCTTTCATCTGACACGCCGCATCCTATTGTGGTCCCAGAGTCACCTGCTCTCGCTCAGAGCGACGCACGTGCCGGGCCATCTGAGCGACGGTCCAGACAGCCTGTCCAGGAACCTGGTCTCCCCCGGAGAATGGTCCCTGCACACTCAAACAGTCCAAACACTGTGGCGCCTATTCGGCAGAGCGGAGATAGATCTTTTCGCTTCAGAAGAGAACGCTCACTGCCCAATATTCTTTTCAAAGAGCGAGGACGCGCTAGCCCAGGATTGGCCCCGCCGCCCGCTCTATGCTTTTCCCCCGATTTCTCTGCTACCGCAGGTCATTCAGAGAATCAGGGACTCACGCCACTCGGTGCTCCTCATAGCCCCGCGCTGGGAGAATCAGATTGGTTCCCGGAGCTAACGCGGCTGTCACAGACAGCCCCGTGGCCCATTCCAATCAGAGCAGATCTCCTCACTCAAGCCCGCGGCTCGATCTGGCATCCCCATCCACAGCGCTGGGCGCTTCATGCATGGGTGACCAACGACTACGCGTCGAATTGCCAGAAGGGGTTTTGAACACGATCAAACACGCCAGAGCGGATTCTACCAGAAAGCTCTATGCTGCAAAATGGTCTGTGTTCTCCAAATGGTGCACCGACAAGAATTTGGACCCACGGACGTGCGAGGTTTCGTCTTTGCTAGTGTTCCTTCAGGAGATGCTGGATAAAGGCAGGTCCCCATCCACTCTTAAGGTTTACGTGGCAGCCGTCGCGGCGTTCGTTGAACCCCGGCGCGCCCAGTCTCTGGGCAAAGACGAGCTAATCATCCGCTTCCTCAGGGGAGCCAGAAGGATGAACCCCCCTCGCCCCCTACGGTGCCGGTCTGGGATCTTTCTATAGTTCTAGAAGCTCTGAAAGCCCCACCGTTTGAACCACTTGAGTCCGTGGAACTAAAATACCTCTCGTTTAAAAACCGTTCTTCTGACGGCTCTCGCTTCAGTAAAACGTGTGGGGGACATTCACGCGCTGTCTTCGAGCGCCGCGTGCCTAGAGTTTGGACCGAGTGACTCCATAGTCATTCTAAAGCCTAGACACGGTTATGTTCCAAAAGCGATTGGTACCCCTTTCAGGGCGCAAGTGATCTCTCTATCGGCGCTGCCTGCATCCGATAGCGAACGAGACGCTGACCGCCTCTGCCCGGTTCGGGCTATCAGAGTGCACACTACACGCGTTGCCGCGTTCAGACGCTCGGAGCAGCTGTTGTGTCGTTCGGTGGCCGCACCAAGGGACTAGCCGCCTCGAAACAGACCCTAGCCAGGTGGATAGTAGACGCGATTGCCTCTGCTTATGCCGCTAAAGACCTGCCTCGCCCTCTGGGCATCAGGGCTCATTCACCAGAGGCATGGCCTCGTCGTGGGCATGGTCCTGCGGGATTTCCATCCATGACATTGTGTGGCTGCGGGATGGGCCTCCCCCTCCACTTTTGTCAGGTTTTATAACTTGGAAGTTCCAGCCTTACAGGCTAAAATTCTGGCGGTCTAGTACTCACAGCCCTCCTATAGAAGCCGCACTATCGGGAGTTCCATCACAACCGGCTCACCCCTTGTGTTCCCCTATGTGCTTATGCATTAGCCTACACATCACGGCCCGCCTTCGCCGGCCGCCTTGGGCGTTTTGCACTAGATGATAACGGCCGCTATGCTGGCCGCCGTATTATCTTCATCCACTTTAGATTCCCCCGGTGTTTCCCCTGGGATGCTTAGTGGTTACTTAGCGCGCACGGCGTTGACCAGGTGTTCCCGTAGCGTAAGCTAGCTTACGCAATACGAGAGAACCTCTCGTAAGAGAACGAATCGGTTACCTAACGTAACCTCGGTTCTCTCTAGATGAGGGAACGAGTATTGCGTTCCCGGCCGTGCTTGCGCCACTAGCGTTTCGCTTCATGCTACAGAATCAACGAACGAGCTGGGAGAGCGACCTTTATACACTGTAGCCACGCCCTTTTGGCGGGCTGTGACGCAGTGAGCGAGCGCCGTCCGCTCATTGGCCGCGGACTCAGCGCCGCTCTCCCATAGGTTCGTGCATTCTCTCTGAGCGAACCAATGAGCCGCTAGCTAGCCCGCTCATGGTCTGCCTCAGAGGAGACTGCGTTGACAATGATTACAAAATTATGGAATAATTTTTTGGCTTCAACTTCTCAGCAAAGATGAATCTTTCCCGTAGCGTAAGCTAGCTTACGCAATACTCGTTCCCTCATCTAGAGAGAACCGAGGTTACGTTAGGTAACCGATTCGATATTATCAAAGGCTCAAAAATGGGTAACTGTCAAACACTAACTAACCAGCTGTACGAAATTCTTGAATATTGTACATTTCACAATGCACCGAGACCCAAAGCAGGTAGAAAGATCAAATATGTCATTTGTTGTTTTTTTTAATAGTGTCTCAGTATAAACTAAATGTCTGATATTAAGGTGACCAGATTTCTGAAATGGAAACGGGGCGTTTTTTTAGTTCAGTGGTCAAAATCTAATTGAAATCTTACTTATGTTATTATCTATGATTTTTTTAAACGGAGACAATACATTTTTGCATGTTTTTGTATTATTGTAGGTTAAACTGCGATTAAATAACAATTATTATGTATGCAGGTCAACCCCTAACTAGGCTATTTTAATACAATTGGCAAAAATTACACTAAGAAAAATTGCAAATGGTATTATATTAACATAACAGTATTATGTCATATGATGACTGACTTTACAAAACACATTGCAGAAATAATACAAAATAAAAATGACAACATATGATAGCCTAAATTAAACTGTATTTAACATATATATATATATTTTTTAGATTTTTCCATTTGTATTTTATGTTTTTATTTCCACAAGCTGTAAATATCCTGTATAAAGTAATAATAACAACTTTTTTTATTTATTTTTTTCAAATGTTCAATTTTTGTAAATATCCTGTATAAAGTAATAATATCTACTTTGTTTTATTTTTTTCAAATGTTCAATTTTTGTTTGTGCTTCTGGAGGCTATGGTGATCTGGCATTTTTGCAGTGTTTGTTCAGGCTATTTTGAATGTGCTGTAAAATAGGGACATTTGCAGGGACAGCTTCAGTTGGAGTCAGGACACCAAAATGGTCACCCCGTAATATTGTGACATCATACTGTGTATTATAGAGTGCACTCTCAGAAAAAAAAAAAGAAAAGAAAAGTGGGACCGAAACCTTTTAAAAGGTACACTTTTGTACTTACCTCTAAAGGGGTGCAAATCAGTACTTTAAAGAAACCTGTCCTAAAGTATAAGTTGTTCTTAAATGTTGCATATTACCTTTTGATATGGAACTACCCCAGTGACAGCTTTTGTACCTTTTTTTCTGAGAGTGTGTTGTTATGGTTATTCTGTGACTTATTAGGTTGAGATATCTCCATACATTGTCTGTACACATAATCTATTTATTTTACTGTTTAAGGATCAAGGTGGCATTATTAACAATACAGTTTTTTATGGTAACAAACTATTTTGACAAAGATATTGGTCACTAGGTGGCAGACAGATACCACAGTATTTGCAGCACAACCTGCTACTGAGAAATAGTGGTGGTTTCAACCTGAAAAAAAATATTTGTTGGTCAGATTATTGTGGTGACATTCATAACAAAGAAGTGTTAAAATGAAAAAGAAAATTGTAGTAATTCATTTTTTATTTTCTGTCTCCCTCTTTCTCTCCTTCTTTCTCAGATGCTCCAACAACAGATGGCCTAGTAAACCAGTTTAAATTCCTCTCACAGCATTTTCCAAACTGACCTTGGGTTTTCACACATACACACACAAGGTCATGTGTTGGGTTTGTTACAAGATAGAGGGAGGAACATCTTTTCTTCCTCCACCCAGAATACACACACAGAGACGGTTTGCGTGTACATACATGTCCTCTCACAGATCACATACAAATACAAAAACACACATTCTCTCCTCCCACAGTCTGTTTGTTCCTCCTCTCTCTCTCTCTCTCTCTCTCTCACACACACACACACACTCTGTCCCTGCCTGGTCGATGCTGAGAGTTCCTCCTCTCTGTGTTTGGGGGGGGGTTGAACACAGGATTCTCACTGCTTTCCTCTCAGTCTGCAATCAGCAACGGACACACACACACACGCACGCACACAGACGCAGCAGCTATGAGCGCGGACGATGTGGTGTGCACAGGATGGCTCATAAAATCCCCTCCGGAGAAGAAGCTAAAGAGATTTGTGAGTGAAAGTCCTGTGTCTGAGTGTGATGTATTCAGCATTAGAAGCGGGTACTGCAGTATAATGATCCACTGTCAGTTCATGTTCTCTGTGTATTTATAACACAGGATCTCTTTGCTCTGTTTCCCTGTGCTGCATGATTTGATTTGAATTGCATTTTAAGACATAATATGTTCTCAACTATGTGCATCACTATTGCTTACACTTGTGCTCTCCCTGCTGCTTTCCATCACTGTCAGTGTTTTACTATTTAACTGTGCTGTGCCGAAGGCTCTGCTTGGATGCATTTTAATTCCTGTTGCCCGTGGACTTTTGATCGTTTGTTATGAGATGCTTTACACATGCTAATTCTCGGCTGTGTTTGTGCAGCATTTGTGTGCCTTCTTGCACGTGGCTTTGCTGCTTTGCATAGCCTCTTCTTGACTGTGTGAAATTCAGTGCTGTGCTTTGTGACAAAGCAGTTTACCTGTGCCACCACTTAAACAGGCACTTCCATGTGTTACTTTGTCATTAAACGCATCTCAAATATATTCCTGTTTTATCATTCGATATTACAGTTTATTGTAATATATAAGTGACGGCGCAGTCTCGTTGTTATTTGTCTATTGCAGAAATGCAAAGTGCACACTTGTTGTCCTGTACTGTTCCCCTGTGTTTAATCGTCCTTCCTCGTTTCTTCCTCATTCCTCCTCTGTTTATGTGTTTACTGTGGATCAGCAGTCATTTAACCCTGTGCTTTCATCTGTCAGACGAGAAGCTACAACGTCTTTTTTGAGCCTTTAATTGTGTTACTGTGATCTTTTCCTTGTCCCACAATCTAAGTGGAGTGAAACAGGAACCGTTAAAGTAAAACTGGAACAGTTTAAAACTAAAACAGCCTAACTGTTCTCTTTTTACTGTGTAAAATGGTGCTGTGTGTGGACCTCGGTTTTGTTTATAAGTAGGGAGGAGTGTAATTGTAATCACTATTAACAGTGTAAAGGGCCGTTCACACCAAGAACTATAGCTATAATGATACCTACTGTATAACAATGACTAGCTTAGCATCCACACCAATGGACAAAAGCCTAACGTTTTATTATGAGCATTGGCTCTAGTTCATTAAACCCTTAAGCTCTTTGATATCTGGTGAATTCTGATTGGGGGAAAAATCATTCTGAATGTGATTCCAGTGATATTGTTCCTCTGTGTTGTTGTCAAGGCCTGTTCAAACCAAACACAATAACTATAGTATAACTATGATGGTTTAATAGTCATTCAAGTTCTATGAGAACAGGAAAGTCCACAGAACGGCTATAACGATAACGACACAGGGGGATTAATAATAAGTAATAATAATAATAATGATGCATTTTTAATTGATAATAATGAATAATAATTTAATTTTAATGGATTGATAAGTTTGGAATCAGTTTTAGAACTTTTTTTAATAGTAGATGAATGATAAAACAATCAGAATCCACACGAGCCTTTAAAGCAGCCAACGACATAACTGCACTGCACACTTTTAATATAAAGAACATTGTCATCCCTGGGTGTGGACACTAATATAGTTATTGTTATAGTGTGTGAACCAACTGTTTTGTAGTTTACTTAAACATTCATTGTGACATGTCTACATGTACAATAATGAAAAATTGCATGTCAGACAAGACAACATTGGTGTTGCTGTTGCTGTTTTCACTGTTTGACATGTCAACTAGCCATTTTCTGATCTTTTAAGCTTCCTTTGTTTGGCTAAATATAATAGTGAGGTTATATTTCGCTTGTTACGACATGCATTTCACATTTGTAAATCACGCCTTCCAAAAGCAGGTGCACAATAATATTCAAAAGTTGATTTATATGCAGAAGAGCACTGTTTAGTCTAATTACAACCTGATTCGACACACAGAGAGACTCTCAAGATCCTCTGCTTGAAAGTGAAGGTCTCAGTTATTTGGTTGAGAAGAGGAAGGGCAGGGAGGACCTTCAGTCATAAGACGAGTGTTCAAAGTGTCAGCTTGACACCACAAACACGCTCTCTCCCACCCCTCACTCTCTTTCACTCTGTTTCTGTGAAATTTGGGTGTGTTGCAAAACATGGGAAGTGTAGGGTGCCAGGCAGTTGAGAGTGACCCTGCATTCAGAAATGAGCTGTGCTATCAGAGACCAGACAAGCTAAAGTGGCTTGACTGCTATTTTGAGGTGGAACTGGGGGGCTCACGAAGAGTGAGTGAGTGCACATGTGTAAACAAGTGCGCCTTTAGTCTGTTTAGCATGTGTGTATGTAAACAGTTCAAGGCACTACATGAAGAGCAAAAAAAAACTCTCTTGCTTTCTCTCTCCCACTCACTCTTTCTTTTTCTATTTCTCGCTCTCTCTGTTTCTCTGGTTTTGTGGCTTGATCAGAGAGTAAAATGTGAGACATTGGGAAGGAGTGTTTGTTGTGTGCTACCAGTGTGATCTTCTTTCTTTCTTTCTTTCTTTCTTTCTTTCTTTCTTTCTTTCTTTCTTTCTTTCTTTCTTTCTTTTTGTTGGTCATTACATTCTGTGAATTGTAAAAAAAAACTGTACATGCAAATATATTTACAGAAAATACTTTTTTAAAGATGAGCAAGGCAACTTATCGGCAATGATTTGCCCACAAATAATATGTCTGTGAACTATTGTCAAGATTTTTGGTTAATACAAAAGGGGGAAACTAAGGGGAAGTGTGTATTTAAGGCGCTTTGACAGGTCTCTATTTCTTTGACATGTTTCTCCATTTTAACCACCTTTGTAGGGCTGGGCGATATATCGAGTATGTACGATGTATCGTTATATTTTTTGAAACGATATGGAATGAGGCAATACCGTTTATATCGATACAGTAGTTTGATATGAGCACATCTGAAAAATAGCGGAGGTTGCAGTGTGAGCTGCTGCAGTGAAAGTAGCTAGGCTACGTAGTACAATTTGTCCTAAACATGACACAAGCTTATATTAATTGCGTCAAAATCACTTTGATATAGTTAACAAGTTTAAGGCAGCTTGCCGCCCTGTCAAATGCTCTGACAGACACTGTTGCTGACTGACAGATATACTTGAGATGTGGTGCTTTCCTCAGTGCTCAACTTACATTTCACAGGTATATTCTCCATCTGTAAATGTTAGAAAGTAAAGCAAATATGTCCATTTCACAACAAATATGTCCATGTAAGAAGAGGACGAGCTTCTGCAAGTGAATCTCCGCTAAAATTCATGCTTCCTTGAACGAGCGCCGGCGCGCGCATGCGCGTGAATAGTACTACGTAGTACGCAATAATTCTGACTAAAATAAACATATTGCTAAAATATTTGTTGTTGGAGAAAATAAATGTGCCATATGTGGAATTTTAAACCTACAAGTATATATTTTTAATGAAAGTGAAAGTGATTATAATGGGGTAATCAAATGCAGGCTAATATAATTAGTTTGTGCGTTTGTTTTTGTTTTTATTTTCATTTTTAGTTTAGCTTTTAGTCAATATAAAAACAAAAGCTTTTTGCACATAATATATTGCATAGCCTATATTATATTTGTTTCCATATCCTTCAATATCAACATTGTTTGTAGGATAGCATTGGGCCGAATGTGAATATATATATATATATATATATATATATATATTTTTTTTAAATATAAAGATTTTTTTTTTATCTAAATAGAAAACGTAGAAAGTACCGAGATATATATCGTATATCGCCATTTGACCAAAAAATATCGAGATATGATTTTTTGGCCATATCGCCCAGCCCTACACCTTTGTGTGTAAAAGTAACTTTTTTTTACTTTATTTTATTTTACAAATATTCAGTTGGGCTGGATGATAATTAGATAATTAATATGGAAGAAATGTTTTAACAGGTTATGATGTTATGTTGTAGTTGTTGTGCATTGGCCGCTAAACCCTTACAGAAAGGAAGTTTATTTAAATGTGCTATTAGTATCCTTCTTATAAATTAAAAATAAAAAAGTTTACTTTAAAAGTAAGTAATTTAAAATCAAAAGTATTACACTGCATATTTCGGATACACACGCATGCATTCTGTGTCTGTCCTTGCGTCCTTCTGAGTTTGTTTTTTGAAGGTAAGAGTCATTTTTGAATCGGTTGAATGAATGATTCAATGATTAACTCACCATGGCTTTGTCCGACATCGCCCCCTATACCCTTAAATAGGGCACTATTTGATGGGATGGCCATTTTTAGTGGTGTCTGATGAAACCATAGTGGACGTAATCGAGTGCACTCATTCAACCCAATAGCAAGCGTAGAACCGATGTAAGCTCAACGGCTAGAATACCAATAATACACCGTGAGAGTCACGTGCCGAGTTAAGTACCTCATCTTGCCATAAGATTGTGCCGCAGTTGAATCATCCATCCATCCATTTTCCAAACAATATAATCTGTAGAAAGAGTCACTAAATATTTTACTTAATGTATTAGCACATACATACAACGCAACGACTTGATATAAGACTATCATGACTTGTTTGTGCAAAGCATTATGGGAAAAGCTCTGTGGCTTTTTGTTGTTGACCTTAGAGAGGAAACAAAACACATTGTTTAACAGTAGTTTAGATTGACATTTACACAACACTTTTCAATCTTAGAGGAACTGCACAAACATGTAAACAAACTCATACAGACTCAATTTACTATTCTCCGCAATGTAAACATACACAAAAAACGCACACATGCAAACGTGAATGTGTTGGTATTCGCTTGTTGGAGACAAACGTTTGGGCCAATTTCAGACTTCCCTTCTGTGAAGGGTTCTGGGAAAACATAGCTCTAGTTCCTCTGTTTGACTAAAACATGCATGCATAAGGGGAAGAAAATATAGCCATTCCAAAAGAAAGAATAGAGAGAAGGTCTTTGTTTGAGGCAGAGGTAAATCAAGGCCATGCTGTGACCGTGCTGCTCTGAGCATGCCCAGAACTACGTGTGGTCTTGATGACAAATTCTGTAGAAAAACTGTTCAGACACGGGAAGG